TATATATATATATATATATAAACTCGTCTCTTTGCTACTGATAGCTGCACAATCGGTTTGGTTAACTGCGCATAGGAGTCAAACTACACACACAAACGTTAGCCTTAGCATTTAGCTACTGCTTTCAGAGGCCTAAAACTCCCAAAAGATGCCGAGACAAATTTAGCAAGTCGATGATTATTTTTGATATTTGTTTTCTCTATAGGCATTTTTTAAGCTGGCACATTATTTATCTGTACATGCATGAGTTTTGTTTAGAGAGAGAGAAAAAGGCCCACTGCTGCTGAACACGCCGCTTGCTTTGTAGCGGTTCACATTACACTCGCAGCGTCTCGCTTCAACACATCAGGCCATTATTCACTTCGAATTGCATGCACATCGTTAGTCACTAGACACTGTATGCACCTGTGTCAATTACACAATCAACAGAATACAACGATGTTTTCCTCCTTTCATGAAGGCTCAGAACACTAGCAATGTTAGCTTATTCTGCTAATTTTACCCGCTATCTTGCTAGCTAGCTAGCTAGCTCGATAGCACGAAGTTTTAACTAAAGCGCTCTTTGTAATCAAACGACTCTAACAAACCGGTTTCAGAAATGCTTTCCAATGTGTTACTTAAACAGAGAGAGCTCATTCAACGAATAATGAAACCCATAAAAGTCCGTTTCTAACCTTAGGTTTCTCGTCTGCCATTGCTACTGCTGATGGTAGTAGTCGGTCTGCGTCTGATCTACTGCGCATGCGTCGTTCGGCGCGCCACTTTCCGATGACTGCACTGGATCGATCTGGATCGATATCCTCTGGATCTAACCAGAGCCCTATATAGATATACTGTAAATAGATAGATAGATCTCTTTATAGGGCACTGYATCTAACTAAACATGACTAAACATGCACCAATACACCACCATCTTGGATCGGGTATAGATCTTTTCCACAAAAAAGGTAAAATAATCAATTAAGCCAGATTTAATGCCCCTTACGGGTGTTTAAACAAAATGAAAGCACCAAATGACTAGGAATAAGTTGTTTCCACGAATAAATAAATAAATAAATAAATAAATAAATAAATAAATAAATAAATAAATAAATAAAAACACTATGGCTTAGTATTCATGAAATTTGAAACTTCTTTGATCATTCTTCACCTGTGTGGATAATGAGACAAGATTACCCAAATGAAGCCACTGTTTCACCTGATTTAAATGAATGGGTAAAACACGTTTCTGCAGAACTTGAAGAGCTAAATCAATGTGTCAATCGATGTTTATCTGCACCGATACCCTGTACTATAAATAATCCTAGTCCTTTTTCAATATTAATTACACATGCACATTATGTATATTGTTGACTCAGTTGCACACCCCTTTGGACTTTGAGTTCAACATGCCTGTATCTAAAGCTGCACAGTATTTTTCCTGTTATTGCCTTGTACAGTATTTTTTTTATTTTATTGTTACTATTGCTATTGCTTATTTCCTATATACTGTCTTTTAATACTGTAGAATTATTTTTGTGTGAACCTATGTATCTGCTACCGATGTTACACCTGAATTTCCCCTGTTTCTATTCTATTCTATTACTGAAACATGAGTGTTGGAGCAGGGAAACAAGCATGCAGGATAGTGACTCCACAGGACCAGGATAAGACACCCATGGTCATAATCGTCTTACATTTGAATTAGACCACACAGAAGCTACAGATGCATTGATTGTTTTTAGGTTCCCAAATGATCAAGGAGACGGGCACAGACAGCCGTAATGAGAAGAAAGGTTTCGACCTAATGACGATGGCTGCTTACAGCTGGAAGACTTTGGCAAGACAACCTGTTTCAAAGACACAGGAGTTATATTTACTCTTATGTTTTCTGATTGTTTTCCCGAAGTTAATGTCATGGCAGTTTCTCTTTTTTTTTAATGACAGCTTGTAAACATCAGTGCAGTCTTTTTGTTCAAAACTTTCTTCTCATTGTGACTGTTCATGCCAGTCTGATAATAAAGTCACATGATCTGATTTAAAGTCACATGAAACATCATTCCAATGACATTGTAACAAACAAAACGTGTAAAAAAGTAGTACAAATAGAGTAATCTTTATTTTTTCATGCACAGAAAAAGCTTTTCAAAAATATGCAACGACAATTTAATATTCTCAAACAAATAAATACTTTTGTAAGAATCCTGTAGAGAACCTTTCATGTAATGCTAACACCCTCAGAAAGACAAACTTAATGTAATAATTTGTTTTACCACTTAAGAACTTTATTTTCCTAAAAGTAAAAAAAAAAAAAAAGGAAAGATGTTAAGGTTAAAACAAACTCCCACAGTAGTAAAACATTTACACTTGGCTTAAAGAAATCTACTTCAGTTCATTTTCCACATCTAACACCAGGAGCAGAACAAATGTACAATATATATTTAAATAAATACCGTTATTCAGTTTGTAACCGTTTGAACCTCATCCTCTGACAGGACCATTGTCTCTGGGACAAAGTTGTGTCTTTATTATAAATGCTGTCCATAAACACCGATCTTCTGGGTTCCACAATAATGTGTCTTTTTTGTACATATCTGAATATCTGGTGATGAGTTTGGGCCTTCTGAAGACAGTTTTCTGTGTACGTTTTCATATTTTAATGTAGATAGCTCTTTACACAATCTCACTTTGGACAAAGAGTCTGCTGGAGTAAAAAGGTTTAAATAAGAGCATTTGCATGTGTTGCAAAAATTATTTCAGCAATCCACTTTGGAAATAGGTCCTTTTGAACAAAACGTTTTAAGCTTGTCAATACAATCCAAAACAGAGCTGTGAATGAATCGTTTTAAACKGCAGCCCGCCCTGGTCATGGCTGCATTCAGACTAGCCGTTAGCTCATCAGATCTGTCAACTCTGTTTCTTCAAACTGAGGTTGCTCAAGAAGCCAACTACAACATGTAAACATATTATTATTTATAACTTTTTAAACAGAAAACCACTTCAAAAAAACAGCCAAACTATTCCTTTAGGAATGGTAAACATGAGTGCTAAAATTAAACAGAAGAAGAAAGAACACAGTTGCAATAACAGTAAGTTAACAGTTCCAACACTTTCTTTCACAAACCAAAATAAATATTACATCCATGATAATACCTGAAACTCTAAAACAACTATGGAGAAGCTGTATGAGTTTATTTTTAAAAAACCTAAGCAAACATGGAAGAAGTAAACTGACTCCTCAAAAACTAATACATGAGTGTCTTTCATTAGCGATGGATAATTGACCTCCTTTAGTATGGGCTCAGTCTCCCTAAATTTGCCATTTTGATTTGCTCAGACTGTAGGTCGCCCACTTCACTTTGTTCAGAAGTAGATAAATAATAAAATGAAAGCAACAAACCCTCCTCCACACAAAACCAGCTCACATGATTTGTGTTCCTCTGGTAAAAGTTTCATGTCTCCTTCATTGGTCCATAAATTCAAGATTCCTAAGTTTTAAATATTCAAACTTTAATGTTTGCAGAGCAGCGACACACTGAATTAAAAAAGAAGCTCTAAGGAAGCTGTAAACAGAATTAAAGAGCCCCCCACTGATCAGCAGGGGGGAATTCGTTCACCTCCCCCACCTCCGTGAACAGCTGCTCTCCCAGAGTGAACATCAGTTTGTATCTCATCCGAACCTTTTCCTGGAAAACATTCAAAAAGGCAGAAACACGCTCAGATTAGCAGCTTCCGTTGGCGCTCTGCAACACACGAGGTGACCAAATAAAATCTGAGCAGAGAAATTTGATCTGAGAAATCATTTCAAAACCCCAGCTTAAAAACATGCAAGAGAACAACAGAAGCCTGAGACCGAGCGGTACCTTGAGAGGATTGGCGAGCAGCATGATCTGAGTGACGGAAGGAGGGGGAAGAAGTGGATTAAAAGGAGCCAGCTCTGTTCCTGAGGGCGGCTGCAGCTTCACCTTCATTGTCTGTCAAAGAAAACATGCACGCGGTTTAAAAAAATAAATAAATAAATAAAAGAAAACTTGAACATCTGTGTGTTGAATCTGAATCCACAGCCTTGCTTCCGGGTCAGTATGAGTGTCACATAAAGAACACGAGGCTCGTACCCGGGGCACAGCCGCCTGCAGGACTATGTTCCTCACAGGCTGAGGGGCCGTGTTGAGCATCGACGCCACCATCACTAGAACATCAGGCCTGCCTGGTGGACAGTCCGTGGCGAAGGTGAGCAGAACACGAACACCATTCTTGTCATAAGRGGTCACAGGTAAGACTTTACCTGAAACACAGCAGAAAAGAGTCAGGTGATGACGGGTTACACACAAAAATATGAAAACAGTTAAGAAGACATTAAACTATTTTTTTAATTTAAAATAGCGAGAGTAGTATTTATTTTTCACAGCAACATAAAACTGAATGAAAACCAGTTGGAGGTGATTTCCCCGTGTTGTTTTATGAATAAATAGGACATTAAAGTCAGACAGGGCAGAGCAGAGAGGCTTTTCAAAAACAAATTAACACGACACCTCATCATGTCCCAAGCATTGTTATCATTTGGCTTTGCTAACCGCATGTAGACTAAATTAATCACTTGTATAAGAAATTAAAAACGGGGGTTAAAAAATACACATTTTTCTCTTTTACCACTAAGTGGCAGTAARGTCAAGAGTTTCACTTACAAACTAAAACCTCAACAGGAGAGAAGCTGTTCTTATTTTACAACTGAAGTTCATTAAATTTATTGCTCTAAAGAAGAAACAAACATTTTCAAATTCAAGTCATTTTTGCCACATAAAATATAGTTAAACTAATTTGTGTTTATCCAGAGTAGAAAAAGGATTTTTATTTAGGCTTAGTTTCTCATCAATCATCTAACTCTCTCTAAAAAGCATCTGATTGGTGCTGAATTCATTCTGAACGGGTTACGAAGAACTATCCTCAGAGATGGGGACTCCTGACTCGGACTTAGACTTGAGTCACACTTAAGTCCCTACTATTAGAGACTTAGACTTGACTTGAACTTGTGGTTTGAGACTCGCGAACAATGCAAGTCTTTTCACTGCCCGGCTCACGAAGCTCACTCCCTCAACACACATCCATGCTCCGCTCCCCCTCACCTGAGAACAGGAGGGGCCAGCGCCGTCCAACYTTAATGATGCGACTTTATTCAATGCCATGACAAGAGACTGACCAAATACAAAATATGTGGAGTCCAAATCCAAAATTTATTTTTGTGATGACTCGTGCAACCCTTTAAGGATTCTGGTTCATCATCTTCACTGACATGCTTTTATGCATTTAAAATATTTTTTTCTGGTATTTTATTGTAAAATCAGCAGCAGACTTGTTGAGTTTGTTCTTTTGTCAATGGAACGATATAATTACAGCAAGCCTACAAATGCAAAATACAGTAAACAATACTCTAAAGGCTTGATTGTTGTTATTTCAACCTTAACCTTATTTGTATTTTTAAAACAGTATTATGTTTTAATAATACTATTAAAACATAATAATATGTTTTAATATTTGATTAAAATATACTATTAAAGAATATAATCTAGTATAGTTAGAATACCTTTGATCAAACTGCCATTTGGACTTGAGGTGAATAGACTTGAGACTTGACTTGGATTTTTGGTCAAAGACTTGGAGCCAAAGACTTGAGACTTGACTTGGACTTGCAAAAAAAAAAGACTTGTGCACATCTCTGACTATACTCAGCAACTGCAGCAGAAGAGGTTTAATGTCTGATTTTAAAGGTTCTGAATTAAGCTGTMTATAGCTGCAGACCTGGTAAAAACTAACTATACTCTTTTTGAATTAATAAGTTTTGATCTGCTCAACTAGGAACATAAAAAAATCTCAGCACCTTAATGCAGCATTTAAATAAACTATTATTAAATGTTTGCATCATTTTAGAGATGGTGAAAAGTGGTTCTGTTTTGAGCAGTGGTTGACTTAGTTCTTCTGCAATGTGTCATACTGRATGCTGTTTTTAATCTGAAGTTGACTGGACATTGATCAGTGTAAGACTGACAGTATGATTATCTTAAACTCAACTATCACAATTTTATAGCATTGTTTAAGGTTTGATGTGATATCAGAGAGAGATGTCAGCTATTGTTTAAAAATTACCTTGTTTTTCACCCATAAAGTATGACCAAGCGCCCTTTGAGTCAGAAGTCTCAATACCTTGTACACTCGAGCAATTCTGACCTCAAATTCTGACAAGCACAGGGAAAAATCATTAAGCTTCCATCCTGTAACTTACTTGGTTTGATTGCTTCCAAAGGGACAAAGAGACCAGCCAGAGACGCCTCGTCTCCTCTGCTTGGACTTGCTTGGCTCATGGGAAGAATCGGGGACAGCGAGCGTAACAGAGGACTGTCATCTGCCTGACTCTTGACAGCTGGAGGGGGGGACCATCCTTGGACTCCTGCTGTCAAAATTGAGGCAGAGCTGATGGGGGTCCCGCCAAGACTGGAAGAGAGCAGTGAAAAAAATTAGATCAATCTAAAGGAGAAAAACAAAATGAAACTAGTTCTTGGATGATCTGCAGCTTGAAACTATTTTTGCCTACAACCATTTATTCACCGTTATTTATCCAGGCAAATCCATAAATAAATGGTTGTAGGCAAAAATGTTTTCAAACTTCAGATCATAAAACCATTTGTGGACCCAAGTATTAGTTTCATTTTTTTTGTTTCTTCTTTAGAGTAATAATCTGCATGTCAAACATCAAAATACCCTGCATGTTGGAACAAGAAGACAATAAGGGTGAAGTTGAAGTGATGCTTGAAGTAAAAAGAAACAAACAAACAAACAAACAATTTATTTTAGATCTAATTACCTTTGGATATAATAGTTTTGATTTAAAAACACTCAACCTTTTTTATAAAGATATGGACACCTCATTAAAGTGACAACTCATTTAACTCTTAAGTGATAAAATAATRATAGTAGTACTGTACCATAATTACTTAGTGTGAAAAACTCAGTTCAGTCAGGTATGATTTCCACTTAAGAGAAAATAAGACTTTCAGCTCAATTATCCTTTTGAACTCAAATGTTTTGTTTAAAAACCTCTGAGAAAAGTTGAACATGTAGGAGTGATTCCTAGATTTAAGTGAAAGAATGAAAGTTCATCTTCTGGTTTGAGTGGTAAAGACTTATCTAACTGCAGTAAGTCAGTAATCAAAGGGGATTTTTAATTGCCTAATTAAATAATTAATCAACGATGAATTTGCATTTTCTAATATAAAAAAATCTTTTTGACCAGAGACTTGTTTAAATTATCATCTCTAATAATTCTCAGRGGCTGAACAGGTAATATCCAAATCTGCTGAGTCTTTGTGTCATCAAGGAAATTTTTAATTTACATTAAAAAAAATCAACAATTAAGTTACAGTAACCCAAAATTAACCTGGTAATACTGAAAGAGCAATTTGTCCATTCAACACAGCTGGTGTAGATGGACTACAGAATAGAAAATCATAATTAAGTGGCCTATTAATCAAAAAACATGAAACCATTTTTTATTTTGACTTGGGAAATTACTTTTGAGCACATTATCATGAGACAGAGGCAGAATCAGGTTGAGCATTAGGCTTTGAGCAGCTGCCAAAACAAAAACGGGTCCTGTTTAACATTCATTTCTACACCTCCCTATTCAAACAGCACACAGACATCTTCTCAGCTTTTTCTTCTAAGGTTTTCAAAACACTATAACAGGTCAGACGTTAAGTGTTCCTAACCTTTTCACTGAACCCAACTGCAAAATGTGCTAAATATTCCTCTTCGTTGCCCTCCCGTGGTAACACTTACATATCATTACTGCCCAGATCCAGCATGGCGAGGTCCTGGAAGTTGTGACTGAGAGAGGACGATGCAGACTGGAGGACTCCGGGAAAGGGGACGTGTTGGCGGGCAGCTGACAGAGCAGGTGAAGAGCCGAGTGACTGAGGAGCAGCAGCCGAGGCCGTGGTGTTCAGCGCCGAACTGAGCGGTGAGGAAAACACCAGCCCGGGGAAGCTCGAGGCCGAGGCAGCTGTAGTGGTTTTGTTGGGACTAACTGAGGCTACTGTTGTAGAGCGGACATCTTGAAAAAGTGACGGTGTCGAAAGTGCTTGAAGCGTAGACAAACTGGTSTCAAAAAGATCCAAATCTTGACTGGAATCCTGGAAGGTTTTATAATTTAAAAAAAAAGTTATTTCCATTCAGAATGTGGAACATTTTATTTATTTTTAACTTCATACCTGTGAAGATGGCAAGTGATTGCTCTGATTTCCTTGTGTTGATTCACTAGCTGCAGCGCCAGGCTCATTAAGACCTGTGAAATTACATGTTTTTTACATGCACAGATCCTTAAATGTGCATAAAAGTATGTAAGTATGTAACAGGTGCGGTACCTAAACACAGCAGCTCCTCATCCAGCAGTGAAAGTGCTGCAGACGGCGCTCCGACACTCTTAGACGGAGACTCGGTGGCCGTTGATCCAGAAAGTAGGTCACCCGGAAAAGGTAGAGAAGACGCCAGAGGTTTGTGCTCAGGTGGAGAAGGACTATCAAGGCCCACCAGGTCAATAAGAATCTCAGACTGGTTCCTGCTTTCAGTGCCTTTCAGATGGAGGGAAAAACAGCAGTAAAAACGAGCACAAATCTACAACTGTAGCTTCAACACCAAATCACTTTAATCTAATGCACGTTCTATGCATGGAAATAAACAATTTAATTGATTACTTTTCATTTAGAGATATGGTAAATGACTCAAAAGTAGTTGAATCTGCAAGTCTGAACACAGCTGCAAAATCAAATCTTAAAACAGGGGTTTACCTGATACAGAGAGCTCTGAGGAGCAAAATACTCTGGATTAAAAGAGATTCATTTAAATAATTATTCACTTTGAAGTGTTTTTTTTTAACAAAACGATTAAAGTTAAAGCTTGTATTTCACAGGGWTGAGAAAGTTGGAGACAAATTATGATGGGAATTCACGAGAGCGAAACTCTCGCAAACTAATTTCCTCAAGTGAGTCACAGGGCCAGACCCAGAGGAATGTCTCTTTGTTTTTATTTTGTTATCAGCCTCAGACTGTGTTTTTTGGGATTTGCCATTTTCTGGGTGAGTGAGAATCTACACCGGTTTAATGCAATCATTTGACAACAGGGTTATTTGATTGCAGATCAAAGTTTTAAATCCATACACTATACCTCTCCAGAAGAATCTCTTCATTTAAACCTCACCTTGTCTGACTGATGTTTGGATTCCTTGTGCTGCTTCAGTGTCTCCYCTGATGCCGCGTCCTTCTACAATTGTCTTATAGGAATTAATGACGTGAGACAGGTCGTCATTGGCCTGCAAGATCTCTCCTGATAAAAGCACCCCCCAACATGAGAACAGTGGTCAGGATTGTTGAATGCTTAAAGACTGAGTTGATTTATTAAATTTAAAGGGTCTGATTGGTCAGAACACAACCCTCTTCAGTCACTCCTACCCAAGCTGCTGTCATCATCCTCAGTCTCTGTAGCCAGCTTAAATACTGTTTGCCTTAGCTTGTCACAGTCGCTGCACAACTCCTGAAAACAAACAAATCAAATAAAAGGCCTGAAAGATTTGTCATATTTTGTGTCTTGTGTAAAAGCTGGAAAACAACGCACATTGTCTCCGTTTGGCTACAAAAGCACAATTTTTTAAGGACTGAAAGAAAACTTTTTTCCAATAAAATGATTCTGTATTGCTTAAAAGATATTAATACTGTTTTGTGTTTTTGTTCAAAAATTTAATCATATCAGGTGTTCAAGTGAAGAAGTGTAGTCTTCTAAACATATTTGACACGTTAAATCAAGGCCTTTTGTGGCTGTTTGTACAACAGATTGTGCCAAAGTCCTTTCAGGACGGTTAATCATTGCCATAAAAATAAGTTATCATAATCAAAAGGTTCACTGACGTCTTATGAAACAGAACAAACCTGAATAAGCTCCTTATCTCCTTCAGAGGAGCTCTCTGGGCTGAAGTGAATAAGCATCTCATTAAGGAGTTTCACGCTGTTGTTGACTGCCTCCAGAGTGCTTTTCTGTTTTGCTGCTCTTTGTGATCTCACCTCATCCTGCAAATTATAAACACAAAGTCAACTGCAAGTTTAAAAATCTGAGAAACGTGTCCGGAGCAGCTTGAAATCTCAAGTGACGCACCTCCTTCACCATGTTCTTAATGAGGCGATTCGCCTCTTGAAGATCTTCAGGCTTTTTGCTTTTCAGAAGTTCTGCTAATCTCTGTAAAACGAAGGGAGAATCATCAGCCGGCTGCAGTCCGACCTCATGCTCTCACAAATGAAAACAGGCAAAAATTAAACCTTTAAAGCTCCCGGACACTAAAAAAAAAGTAAGTAAGTAAGTAAGTAAACTTTATTTCTATAGCACCTTTCACAGACACAAACATCACAAAGTGCTTCACAGAAAGCAATAAATAAAAATAATTAAAAACAATAAAACAGATCACAGATATAAAAACAACAGTTAAAACACAATAAAAAGCACATTAACTAAAAGCCTGTCTGAATAAAAATGTCTTAAGACGTTTCTTAAAAGAGTCAGTAGAATCTGAGCAGCGAAGGGACAGAGGGAGAGCGTTCCAGAGCCTCGGGGCCACCACCTGAAAAGCTTTGTCTCCACGGGTTTTATAATGGGTTCGAGGGACCACCAGCAGCATTTGATTAGAAGACCTCAGAGTCCTGGATGGACAGAGAGGCTTCAGAAGGTCCAGGATGTATTTGGGGGCCTGACCATGAAGTGCTCTGAAAGTTAAAACTAAAATTTTAAAATGACTCCTCAAATGCACAGGGAGCCAGTGCAGAGAGGCTAAAACAGGTGTGATATGGGCTCTCCTGTGGGTCTTTGTTAATAATCTCGCTGCAGCGTTCTGCACAGACTGAAGCCGAGCCAAGGAGGATTTGTTTAAACAAGTAAAAAGACTGTTGCAATAATCTAAACGAGAAGAAGCTCCAAACCTATAATCTACTAAACAACTGCAGTCTAAACAACTTAAACTGTTTGATCTGTTTGTTCTTGAATTAGTAAACTGTGTCAGAAAGGCAGATACATCTGTGAAATTAATAACATAAAACTCATTTCTTACTGAGTAAGAAAACATGAAGCAAAGAAAAAACAACTTTTGATTTTATATCAAAAAATACTGCGATCAAAAAGGTCATTTTATATATTTTGTATGGAGTTTAAAAGCATATATACGGTCTATGAAGTAATAAAAAAAATTCAAATGAAATGGAATTATTTGCTCATGCAAAGGTCACTGTTTCTGACCTGCCAACCTTCTGGAACCTCATGTACAAACACTGCATCTGCACGAAACATTTTGTATGTAAGGATGCATAAAAAATGCTGGTGGCAGAGTGTGAATAAACAAAACAAATATACACATATTTTTCACTTGCCGTATTTGCAAACCTTTTCAGTTGCCAGTACCAAACAATAAAAGCACTGAAACTCGCTTAAATACGCTAAAATCTGGTGCATTAATACCTACGGCATGAGCAGATAAACTTTTGGAAAGGCACCAACAGTACAGAAAAGCATAGACAGGTTTTAGAAGAATGTATGCTCCCGTTCAGCAGAGAAGACAAGAGTGGAACAACACTGTGCTCCAAAASCTCCAGCAACTGGTTTCCTCAGTGCCTCGGTGTTTACAGACTGCTGCTAAAAGAAGGTGGTGCAGCTTTCGAAACTCTACATCGTTAACGATTTCACTCACTTTGCTCTTTGTTTCATCATCAAAAACAGGATTCTTGGGTCGCGGAGAAGGTGAGGGTATTAATGTRGCATCAAGAGAGACATCTGGGTCTACAACAACGATGCCTGTAATTTAAAAATTAAAAACAAACGAAAAAAATGTTGGCTCTTAAAACCAGCTGTATGATTTTAAAGAGAGGAAAAAAAACATTAAACTCAAAACAAGCCTTCTTATCTGTAAACTGCATAATTCTTAGGGTGTGCCTTTTACACATTTAGGTTTGTTTAAACTGATTTTCAGTGACCATTGTCTCACCTTGTGACTTCAGCATCTGATACGCTTCACAAATCTTTGCTTCTTCTGGTAGAGATACTGTCCAAGTATACAACATCTCTATCACCTTACTCTTCACTTTCTCTGATACTCTGTCTCCAAGGTACTGAAAAAGGATAAAAGCACAGCTTAGAARGAGATCTAACTTTCATTAAAAAAGCACACAAATGCATAATTTTTAAGTTGTTCTGTGACTTACTTTAGGTGAAACCACCTTTATTAACTCATTTAAAAACTTGAACTTTCCAACTTCATTGTGAAACCTTCGCCCACAGTTTTTCATACAAGCCTCGAGAACCTAGGAAAGCAAAAACAGCGCTCGTTAGATGGAAGCTGAAGGACGACGGAACAAAAAGAAGCACAGTGCAATGGCCGAGCTGCACACCGTTAATGCTTGCATCGCCTCCCATTCCTGAGGGGACTGGATCTTGTGTGCCAATAATCTTACAGATATTTGGGGACTGAAAAACATTGCAGAGAGAAAAACAACAACAACAACTCAGAAGTAATTTTCACTACTAGAAGCCATAGAAACACTCATGTGTTAACAGCATGGGTATCTGATTTGATTAGATGGGTGTGATTCACTGCTGCTACAGGACAGACTGAGAGCTTATTGTTTGAATGCAGCCATACCCTTCTAGCTCTTTATTGATTTGGTCACAGAATCCCAATATATATTCCCAGTCTTCCTGTCTGTTGGAAGGGTTGGTGGCTTTGTCTGAAAAGGAGACAGCACAACCTGAAAAACTTTGCAAATGAACACTTTAATATGCTTTTTCTATTGCTTGTTCCTGAAAAGCTAATAAAATAGGGAGCTGTGTGATATTAAGACTTAAACGAAACAATAATTAGGCCAGTGAGTGATCTTATTTTTGAATAATCCATTCATTAGCTTAACACTTTGCTAGTTGTTGCTATTTCAACTTAAAATGCTAATAGGATGTTTTTTTACAAAATAAAGTTAATACTGAACATAGTGCAAGACGAAAGAAAGTAGTTGTCGCGTATTCTGTAGGCATATGTAAAAGTAACAAGTAGACTAAACAAGAAAGGTGAATTAGGTTTGGCATCCATTCATTTGCTATGTTATTAGCTTTGTTAGCCTCACAACACAAACCAACAGGGCGCAGTAATACTCGGGAACAGTAATGACACTAAAGCCCAACTAACACTTCGAGAACTTATCATAATAAAAAACTTTTTTCACTCACGGGTAACATGGATAAATAATTGGAAATGACTACCAAAGTGTGTACTCACTGAGCCAAGACTCCAATGACTCCCCATCATCCGCCATATTTGGATTTTCTGACAGGAAACAACGCGTGACTCGTGCTGCATTCACGTGCCTTCGGAAACTGCGGTTCTCGATTTTTATGTTTTTCCTCGCTCACCGACTACATGGTTTAAATYTGCCGAGACAGGAAATAAACCTTCACCGTAGATGTGTAACAATTTTTAGGCAGCATTTTAATCACACATTATACATAGTTGGATTTCGACGTGGTTTTGTGTGTTTATGTTTAGTTACTGATGCGAACAAAAACTACAGACATTGAAGTAATCTGTGTCTGTGTTTAGTGTCAAAACTTGACCCTGATATTTTTTTTAATCAAGGGACTAAACAAAATAAACATAATATTATAAATGATGTAGCCTATGTGATGTATTGCAAATTAGCGTTCTTGCTGCAAACGTTGTAATATTGATTATCTGTGCTGATGCTGAATCTGTCCCACAAAATAAACCTTAAATAGATATTAGGATGACAGTGTTACATAGAAATGCAACCCTATTACTGTTATCACGTTTATACTATTAAATGTTGAATTGTATCAAACAGCTAGGTTGTCTCTTAGCATCACAACCAAGGGGTGGTTCAGGAAACCCAATCCTAACRATGGGATTTATCAAAAAGAAAAGTCTTATTAGTGCAGGTTTTTGTTTGTTTGTTTGCTCTTTATTGTTTCATGCAGGTACAGCAGCTCAATAATAATCCAGGATCAAGAATAATTAAATAAAACATTGCCCAAACATCATCCACTATAACGAATAAATAAAAAAGAAAGAAAGAAAACATGGCTTTTTTTTTTCATTAACCAAAAATATCTCTGCAGCTACAAGATGACAAAGTAATGACATTTTTGAATTCCCAATAAATTGCAAAGAACTCAGAAAATAATGAAARTGATTTTGCCTTTGTTAGAAACTATTTTAGAGTGACACGAGGGGAAACAAAAGTGTTAACTAATGAAACTATTTTACCAGAAGTAAAYACAAAAATTTCATCTGGGATTGATTACGTTGAACCTAAGTGGAAAACCTTCTTTGGTCTCATTAATTTGAAACTCACATCATCACATCCTGACCCTCATGAGCTCTACATCTCTCTCTCTCTCTCTCTCTCTCTCTCTCTCTCTCTC